GTGCATAGATTGTAGATACGACTCGAATTCTGCCTTGGCAGTTGCTATCTCGCATAAAGCATTGCTCTAATCAACAAATGAAATCTAACAGCCATAAAAAAAAAAATTCATTTCGTTTCACTCGTTCCGTTTCGCCCGTTTCTGCGGTTTCGTCTCGATGGTTTTTCTAATTTCAGTGGTATCGTTTCGTTTCGTTGTGTAAAATTATTGCACATGTCCTTTAAGAGGGCAAAATAGATCTCCAGCCATTGCCTAAAGATTGTAGCGTAGTTCAAAAAGGGTTATAATATTTAATTTGTAAAATAACGGTATATAAAAAGTATGGACGACGAAGTTCCTACTTGGTCTTAAATTATACGAGTGATTTACATCATTTGAATGCAGTCTGGGGGGATGGGCACTTCTGATATTGACCGATGTATAGACCCCAGATCTGCCTTGATAGTTAGTTATGTAAGGTAATACAGTATTGCTCTAATCAAAAAATGAAAACTAACAGATAAAAACAGAACGAAAGCTAACCACAAGCAAATCGTGCCGAACTGCTAAACGCACCTCAGCGTCAACTTGGTGCTGCCTGACTGAATATCCTGACCGAAAAGATTTTGACTCGTGAACCCGACTCAACATACACCCGCAAATATTCTGAGGTATTCAAAAACGCTTCATTCGAAATACAACCGGAATATTCTATTACTATCCGTTCTCTTTTTTCCGAATTTAACTTGCATACGGTACTTTACTTTTAAGTACTTCAAAGTACTTCTCTTGTATTACGTGCGCCTTGGATACTCTGCGTATTCCAAGTTAGAATACTCTAGATATTTTTGCTTTTGCGCGTGTATCCTCGAAAAAGGCTGTAGCTTAGCATAAGTTTGTATTAGACTTCTCATACCTTAAATTTTCGAAAGTGCTAAATCAAGCTTCAGGTATAGGTCCGTGCGATCGATATAGACACATCTAGAAGCAAAGGCTAAACTCGATTAAGATATAATAGGCCTTTAAAATCATTTGACGTCAGCACGCCCCTTGAAGAGGGCAATCACGCATTGCCATATTAAAATAATTTGGCCTGGCCATTTGAATTAACTATTGTAAAACGATTTGCAATCAAAACACAAAGTTTTGCCAAGGTTAATATTTCGAAAGAATCATGACACTGGATTTCTCTTTCTACAGCCATTGTGATTTCCTGTAGTCAGCGCAATCGTAATTTCAACTGTTCACAGATTTAAAATTTTGTAGTTAAAATTTCCATTTATGACTCATTTGTACCCGCATCACTAGCTCATAAGTTAGTCGGGAAAAATACTTATTGTTTTATTTGTTATGATAATCAGATCTTAAAGGAACCATGCCTCGTTACTTCTTAATAATTCTATTTTTAAAACTGTCAACGAAACGGCTGAAATGCCATGCCATGCATGCCATCATCGTTCAAGTTTGCCGGCTTCCTCCCCGCCAACCTCATTTCCCATTCATGCAGCAGGAGTCTATATCTGTGTCATAAGATCCCTTGGATGACTGGGGTAAATTTTGTGGCCCAAATGTTAGCTTCGCTCGAGCAAGTTTCTATTTTTTGGCATAAAAAGTCTCACGCTTGTACGGAGACTAAACTTCAATTAACTCATCAATTCAATGACCAGATTAAGCAAAATATTTTCCATAACAGCGGAGCGAAGAAAATCGAGCTTTGTGGTGGGATTGTGGTTCACGTTTTGCCCCCCTTTTACCCCATCCCCCCCCCCCCCTCTCCTCCGCCCCCGAAGATTTTTTAGTGGCGGATAGCCCTGCGTCTCTTTAGGCTCGTTTTCTCTAGCGACGGAGTCCGCGTCCGAGTCGTAAGAGCGCTTACGATCCAATGAAAATCGAAAATCGGAGTCGTAAGCGGAGTCATAGGCGTAGCGGAATCGGAGTTGGAATATTTAGAACGTTTCCATTTTCTTCTGATTCCGTTTACGACTCGGTCGCTTATGAGCCAGTGAAAATTAGATTGTTGGAGTCGGGAACAGAAGCGGAAGAATAAACCGATTGCAAGGCCCGGAATCAAGCATTTTGATTGATTTATCCTTTTGCTTCTGCTTCTGACTCCAACAATGCAGTTCTATATATATCTACAATTATTGAGTAAGCAGAAACCATATACCGTTATCACGCTAACCTGGGCAGCAAGCGTTCCCAAGCGAGGAGCTTTTCCGCACTCTGGCCGCGCGTGAATTGGAGCGAGACAAAAAAAAAAGAAGAAGAAGAGGGGGCTGGTGAGGCGAGCGGGGAACGCTTGCCAGTAAACCCCTCGATTTTGAAAACCCCTTTCGCCCAAGAACGGGGCTCCTGATTGGTGCGGCGTGGCCATCTTGATTGACAAGTGTATCAAATTCGCTTGACTTATTCCAGGAATAACTCGAGTGTGACTTGCACAATGCCGTGGGGGAAGGTTTGTGAAATTGCGCTAGCCACAGCGAAGATTTATTAGACTTGAGGTAAATGTTATTCGATTTTACGCAGAAGACACCACCTTTTAGAGGGTAAAGATTTGGTGGCTGTATTAACCGCTGAATTCGGCGAAAGCTGTTAAAATCTTTCAGCTGCTGTTTTAATTATCGATCGTGGGCGAAGATCAAACAGGAACCAGTGACGGAGAACCAATCTTTGATAGTCTTATTTAATTTGGCAGCCTTACTTGGATTCTCTGAGGCGTTTTTCGTATCCAGATAACGTGAGACCGAATTTTAGAACCCGGCTGGTTGTTGCTTTCCCTGCAAAAGCGAATTTACTC